GACTAAGGGGTGGGTAATGGGCACAAGTTGCTCCTGGGGAGATTCCAATTGGACACAAGGTAATTTTTTTACTATGTGGACAAACATTGGAATACTCTCCCAAAGGAAGTGGTAGATTCCCCCACATTGGACAGTTCTAAGTCTCAGCTTGACAGGGTGCTGAGCCATCTCATATAAGCTATAGGATTACCTAGAAAGGCTGGATCAGATGATCCTTCAGGTCCTTTCCAACCTGGCATTCCATGACAATTCTGTACCATCCTGTGGCTCTGTGATGTTACTCTTTCAACTCCATTTGGGTCTTTCTCATGCCCAGTATGAATACCTTTCTGCTGCTAGTGTGTAAGGGAAAAGGAGTGATAATAGGTCTCAGCCTTTATCCTCTGAATGCTAAGCAGAAAAAGCACCACACCTCAGGAACTATTTAATTCAAGATGTTGCCTGCTGTTGAATGCAAAATAACATGGAATAAGGTAATCCTACCTCCTCTTCTTTCTCTCCATTGCTTGTGAGTGTATGACCTTCCCCCACATGCAGTTCTCATTAAAACTGAGAAAAGGAGAGAAATTGCAGCTAAACTTTAAAGGAGAAAAACAAATTAACACAATTAGGATGAAACTAAATGTCCAGTCTATTTTGAAGTTCTTTCTCCTCCATAAGAAAAGTCACTTATTGATGCTTAATAAAGATACCATAAAATTATGTTATCATCATTTAAAACTACTTGAAATTCCAAAAGAGAAGAAACCAAACTCATTGAAGACTCGAGCCTAGTAGAAAATTTGCATTAACTATGGGTCATAATGTAAATATACAAGCTACAAGAACAATCACAAATATTTGAAAAGAAAGTTTCACACAGCACTTGCATGGCAAGAAATTAGCTATAAAAATCAATTATGCATCATTATCACCAGACAGTATGTACCTACAAGATTCACCTCAGAAAACACAAATCAAACATCTGGCCAAACTCAAAGCCCAGGCAGGGACACATTATTATTTCACAGAGGTCACTAACCCTATCCTTTTGGGACTTGAAAAAGGAATCTTAAAAGCAAAGGCATAATAAAACAGGAGAGAAAGTCAGACCCTGAGAATAATTTTAAAATTAACTCAAACCTATACATGATGCAAACAAATTTATTCCTACAAAGGAAGATAAAAAATTCTCCCACTGTGAACTACCACATTTTACCTGAGATGTGGTTTGTGTTGTGGGATTATGTAAAGAGAAGAATTTAGACTGCAGTGAAATGTGGTGTAACTGCACTAATGCTCTATACTCAGGTCTGTGGGGACCCAGGGGAGGAATGAGCAGAAGTGGATCCCTATTTTGTACACAACTGAATTGTTTTACTGTAGTCAGTGTATTAATCTTGGCTCACCTCAGCAAATAAATAGGTTGTATTTATTTGATTCAAAGTCATTGGAATCTACTAGAAATTCTTACTCTGAATCTGGTCTTTGGAAATAGTTTCTACTAAGTCTGAAAATATTCTCTGTATACCTAAGACTTTTACACCTCTTTCTTGAGGCAGGAGCTGTCTTCTTTTGTTCAGTACTTGTTCGGCACAATAGGGATGCAGTACTCAATAGCTGTCCTGGATTATTATTTTATAAAACTAATATGTAATTACCCATAGTACATAAGTATTTAATTACAGTAATTTAATTACAGTAATTATAAGAGGCAATAGAATGGCATCTACATTCATGAATGACCTTGATAATCTCCATGATTGCTGTCAATTTCTTTGCTTGGTTTTTGTTCTCTTTGAGAGGAGAGAGCTGTATTACATTGGAAATGTCTATGTACAATAACTGATTAAAACAAAATTAGAAAAAAATGAATGCATTGGTGGATCCAGCAAGAACCAAGAATAAATCCTCAAGAGATGCTTTTTCAATGATAGGTGCAAACAAGCTTGGGACCTTGTGTGCCATATTTTATCACTATGAGCAGATATGGGGGGAAAAAAAAGGCAATTTAAAAGTTTTCCTTAATCCTGTAGCATTTTTCCTTATGGAACAAAATTACTGTATGTCACCAGGACACTGTAATAGGTGTCTCAGTGTATTCTCAGTGGTCTCATTGACAAGAAATACTGACAGGGAATCTTACTATGAAAATATATAGTGTGCATCTCTTGCAACTCAACAATAGCTACCCCTAGAAAACAGATCAGACCTGAAGGTTGCTGGGTAATAGAATAAAGCTAGCCATTCCAGAAAATGAAACTGAAGCAATCAAACAGTTTGTATACAGTGAACAGCTTTAGAGAGCACTGAATGTAGAGGCTGACAATGTTAAGCAAATGCAGCATTAAAGGCTGCAGTCTGAACCAGCTTAATTCTTACAGACCTCCAAGGTGCATTTAACTCACAGCTGCAATCTTGGATATTTGCAGAGTGAAAGGGAGGTAGCAGCATCCAGTCTTCCTCCCAGGGTAGCAAAAATGCAAAATTCTTTTGAAACAATGGGATAAGTACATTTTCCCTTTTCTTACTTTACTAATTTTCCATATTTACTGCTTCACTGCTTTCCTTTCTTCCTACTAAGTGGTTAACTTTTCATAGTGCATTTATTTTCTGGAAGGCAGCAAGAAGCATTTGTTAGCTTAGAAAACATTTCCATGCTTATACTTCACTCACACCCCTCAAGTGTACTAGCAGCACCTGCTTATCTCTGCCAAGGAAAGCTTCTGTTCTTCTTAATTTTTGCTTGCTATGATCTCTTCTTGTTTCCCTCAAAACTTATCTTCGGTTAAGCTGCACTCTATTTTATTGCTGCTGCTTCTGGTTACATATTGTTGAGTTTTTATTTCCTGGTAACTCTATGAATTGGCTGGCTATTTTTCATTATTTCTGTAGGGCAATGGAAAAAAAATACGCAATTCCTTTACTTGAGAATTCTGACATTTATTAGCATAATAAAACTCCCAGGTGAAATTGCAGTTTTCCATGTAATTTCATTTGCAGAAGAACTTACAAGGGCTTTATTTTAAAGCCTGGTAAAATGTAGAATGAGAAATGGGTGGAATTTAGTCATAAAAATTTATAAAACTAGAAGTAGGAAAAGTGCTCCAAAGTCAAAATGATGATGCTGTTGTGACACTGATTACATCACAAGAGGACACATTACCTGAAGAGCTAATATTTCCAAGCCTTCTTATCAGCTAAACAAAACACAAGCAGTTGCTGGGAACCATGTGACTAGATATAAACAGCTTTTACAGTTCACAAAGGCAAAACACCAGTCCACAAAGATGTCTTCTGTCTAAATACCACCTTAGTTACTCATACCACCTTTAGAAGACCCTCAGTCCTACACAGCCAGCTGTGGCTTTCTGACCTTGGAAGTAAGTCTGGGGATGCCTACATTTTTTTAATTTTAAAAGGTCTCTTTCTGTTCTCTTATGAAGTAGGAGACCAGTTGTTCTGTGATGGAACATGTGCAGTTGTGAATAACTTGAGGCTGAGGTGGTACTTGCAGTGCTTACATAGCAGGAGCAAGTGCAGAGCTAGTTTCTCAGAAGAAGCAGCTGACAAACAGTGGGGCTTTTTGAAGAAGGTAGATTGCATTTTGTGAATGTTCTATTGGAAGAAAACCACAGCTTACTCTGTGATTATCTTATGGAGTCCATATTTGAAACACCATGAGTGCTGAGCTCCACATTCAGGTAGCCGGATTCAGCATCTGTATATGCCTGTAGTACCAGGTGTATTTTGATCCCAGATCACACATCCCAAGCTTCTCATTTAATGGAGACTATAGATCCTACTAGAGGCCTACATTAGAGTTAGCATGTTCAGAATTGCAGGGCTGTATCCCATTTTGAGAATCCAGGCCCTGGTGAACTACAGAGGATCACAGCCACTTGGATATCTTGACCCTTTAACTAGGTGCCAAGTCATTTTTTTTCTCAAGGTATCAGACACACAAGTAAAGAATGTGCTACCTCTGTAAGTCTACTTGCTGTGCAAAGCCCAGCTGTCTCTTATCTAATAAACACTACTTACTTGCTGTGTCCTGATTTTGGTCTATTTTCATGGGATTTTGTATGTGTAACAAATGGATCAAGAAGACATTGCATGCATTTTTTTTAATATATGAAATGGCACGATGATAATATCATTAGTTGTATATTTTCTAGGGATAAATATACCACACCCACCTTCACTCTTAGCTCAGCTAAATAAAGTATCTGGACCTATAGCCCAGTAAAGCTAGTAATCTCCAGCACCTATCTTGCACATCAGAAAAGAAACACAAGGCCAGTGAGAGTTGTTGCTGTTGCTGCAAGACACATGCTTTTGTTAGAATAATTATTTTAGAATAAACTAGCCACTTGTAGAGAAGTAAAATTCTTTCCAAGGCCATTGGATTGCATGAAATTGTAAATAAAATGTGAATTACCTTATTTTGTCTCTGCTGTGGTAAACTTTGTAGGTCTGAATTCAAAAGCACAATGGCAGCCACAGCTATTTAAGGAAGCACAAACTACAAAAGGATGTTTTAAGACTGCTGCTCTTGTTGTTAAAAGTGCACCACTGAGTAATGAGATTGCCAATGGAACCTGAGAAACCCTGCTTTAGAAAAAAAGACTGTTCACCAATATTGGTACTTCGTGCAATGCTCCATGAATAGTTCCCACCAGTAGTTCTTGCTGGATTTTGCATTTTCAATCTCAGATATTAAGAAAATTAAGACAGGAGTTTAGCGTTCAGTACAATTGGCCACAACCCCTTGAAAAATTTCTGGGAATAGTCCTCATTGTAATTTGCCAGTAATTTCTCACCTTTAAAATGTTAGCCATATGAATAATGATGTTAATTCAGATGCAACCCAGAAATATTTTGGGCCTCCTAAGGAGCATACTTTTTTTGGCCACAAGACCAGTGGCTTTGGAATTTTATTGATTACTTTCCAGTGTTTACTTTTGTAACTACCTATTACTACAGCTATCCAGAATGCATTCCTATTAGTCCTGGATCAGTTATTCAAATAAAGGGCTGTAGTCTGGTGGATTCTTCTGCTGTCCACATGGTTCCAGTAGTAGCTCCCCACCTGAGGATGTGATGATTTCTTCCTAGAAAGATAAAACCAACAAAAAAATAATTTCTAGATGTCTAAGCCTTTCCCTGTCTTCTAAGAAAAGCAACTGATAGCAATAAAGACCATCACTGCTCTGTAATTGCTAACCAATTATGAAGAAATGCTTGATAAAATATATACAAACCAGAAAAATGATCCTATCAACTATTCATTTTCTTCTTGCTTCTTGTTTATCTCTTACTTCTGCCTGTAGTAACTCATGATAGCATCAAACAGTAACATCAAACAGCTGGTGTACTAAAAAAGACTGTGATTTGTACTACCTTTAAGTTGCTATGATGCTTACAAAAACAAGATACAGATAACTATATAGGATGCTCTCAAGGGTTAATTTAACAGACATGCCAATCCTACTATGATACTTCTATAGTCACTGGGATGAAAGAAGCTTCCCTAGGCAGACTAAGCAAGAGCACAATGTTGAGTACTCACACACAATGGCAATGGCTTTCTGACTGATAGCAGAGAGGTGAAAGATAATAACCTTGCTAGGCTAAAGACATTCTTTACAAATAGTACCTAATCTCATTAATTAAATACCCACATGCCACATCTGTCATTCCAATAATTGATTACCAGGATGAATTAAAAAAAACTTTATTTAAAAGTAGAGAACTTGGTTTTTCACTTATTCCTAGAGTAGTGATAGTTCATAGTTCAGCCAAACTGGCCAACAGGATATTCTGTAGGATTTAATTTCACTCTCAGCAATAAAAACTGGAATAGAGGAAGGAGGGTGTGGGAAGGGTTGACTTCCAAGGTGGCCACTGAGAGAGAATTTAATCAAATTAGGGAAGGAGGTTTTTTGTGAAGCATGACATACTGTCCTCCCATTTGGGAATATAATGTCATAATGATCTGTCAGGGGACACTAAAGCAAACCTCATTTGTCTTAAATTTTTATTTGATCTTTAAATAAAGAAAACTTCTATGTGCACACTTGCCAGCAGCTAAGATGGGATAAAGAAGGTGAAGGAGAGGAAGCCAACCAAAATCTAACTTTAACAACAAAGTAATAATTTTCAGTAAATCTGAATGAGTTTGGGATTTTTCTACCCTTGATTTAATTTTTATTTTTTTTTTCCTGGGGGGGTGGCTGAAAAGTTCTATTTAGGAAGTGAATATCTATGTTTTTATTATCTTCCTTCATGTAATATAAATTCTGAGAAACTTAACTTCTTTTTGTTAGGCAAATAAAATCTAAAATAAAACTTCTACTGTACTGCTAATAGAATTGCAATTTAAGTGTTACAACTAGAAGAAATAATGTGTAGGTTTGCCTGAAGAGATGTCACGGATCTAGCAGAAATTAAAAAAAAGAATTAACAGAGAAGGGAAATCAGAAAAAAGTCATCTCCACTTAGTGTCTGTGAGACTGAATACTGGAATACTGAAAAGAATTGAAAGTTGTGAAGAAAAAGAAGAGAAAAAAAATATTAAAATTACTTTGAGACAAGAGTGAGAAAAAAAATGAAAAAGGACAGAAAACTAGAAGAGGGGATGAAGAGAATTTTTAAGGGTGGCTAAGAAAAAAGCATAATTAAATCTGATGAAGGTGGACAGAGATTCAAGATTATGAAAACAACCTACACTATCAGAAACTGCTACTTCAGAAACAGTGCTATTCTGTAGTAATAGCCTGGCAACAAGAAACACAAATTAGAAGCAAAGTAAATTACTCTTTTAAGGCTTTTTTTGTACAAGGAATGACCCTTATCACATCCCTAAAAGAGAACTTCTCCATGTTCCCTTCTATAGCACTTTTGCACCTTACAGTGCTCACATCAAAGCCTGAAAAATGCTGAAATTTCATTGAAAGACCTTTCTATGGTATTTCCAATCCAATTTTGCACAGCAAAGAGGCTCAAAAAGTGTTATCTCTGTCAGCCCGTATTAGTCCATTTTTAGCCCAGGAGACCATGAATTACATAACAATCTCCTTAGAAGTGGACAAAATAATACATGCTGAAGCATTTAAAAGAAGGGGAAAATCCTTCTGATTCACTGCAACAAAAGACACAACCTGTATATGTTACAGTGAGAGTTACTGGAGAATATATATGCATATTCCTTTCCCCACTATGGTTACTTCTACTTTCCAGCGTGGTTTCAAACTATACAGTTCCTCTTTAAATTATTCATCCATTCCACTCAGCAATTGATCTCTACCTAGCAACTGTTACCTTGTGAAAATCAATAAGATCTGTCAGCGTTGCATGTCGGTTTGGATCTACCCCCAAGAAGCTGTAGAAATCCCCGGAAGCATCAACCAGGAAGTGTTTGAACCCACTTTGCTGGCGATAAGACAATGCATAGCCCCAGATTTTCTCACTGACTCGCACCAGGAATGTCCCTTCAGATTTATTCATCAACAACTCTTCTGCCTCCTGGCGGCTGATGATACCTGGCAAGTAAAAAACCCCTATGGTTATGCAGATAACAGGCCTGACAGAATAAATCAATTGCAACAAATACAGAGCAGAAGTGAAATTAAAATGGCATAACTTGTCAAAATTGAAAAGTTTATAGGAGGAGTAAGAGCTATGGAGACAACGTTTATGCTGTGTGCTTCTGAAGGACAGCTATAAGAGAGTTGATGGAGTTTGGTGGGATGTGCTTTTTAATTATCTGATTAAGAATTGCTTTTTCCCATCCTTATTGCTTTTTCAAAGGAAGTGAGTAAATACAACTGGCCTGTCAGACCAGTGAATTCTGTACAAGTGATGATTTAGCAGACGAGCATGGTTTGGCATTGCAATCTGAATTCTCAACACATTGCTGGCATTAGCAAGTGTTCTGCAGTACTTCTGACTGTGTTGTCTTACAACTGTTTCATAGGTCCTAAAGAGGAACATAAAACAAGTGCCAGGAGCAAAAGCATTTGTATCCATACACCCACACATCCAAAGATGCATATAGATCAATTTGAGCAGAAACAAATACATTCCTGCAGCTAACAGAGCTCCTAACAGAAATGGGTACATTAGATTACTTACAAGCATGCATTTCTAGGGAACATTGCCACAGAGGAAATTGAGAAACAACGATCATAGTCCTTTCCTTCTGGGTTCTTTCAGGCTTACTATCAGAGCAATAGTCTGCTCTAGTTAAAAACCGTAGCCATGAACTCAACAGAGCACCAACACAAAAACAGAGACTGAATATTCTATCTGCTGATCAGAAGTGAGCCAAGCTTTACAATTAATGCTGAACAATAATGAGTTATGCACCTTGTTCCAGGACAAGAGAAGACAAAATTAGGGCTTCTTGCAGTACATAACTGTCATCCTGCAATCATTTTCTTTATGCGCCAACTTACCTCTCTTTGGACAAACTCTGGGCAAACTCAACCAGGGAACAAGCTCTCTCCCCATATCTTGGTCACCAAATCATGTGTTTTACAGGTGAATTAATTCCTTTGGTGTATGACAAACTTATTTATCAGAGCAAAAGGATCATAAATTCAGATTTTCAGAGTAAGCAAGGGATAAAGTTTAACATGAGTAAAGCTTTCATGAAGTTCCCCATTTTATTCTTCTCTGTTGGAAAAATCTTAATCTCTGTTTTTCTTTCCAATCCTAGGACAAAACACGGAAGTTGCTGGTACTTCCGCTTGCAAACAGAGTATAACAGATACACCCTATTCTGACCATGTAAAAGGGATGCTAAGAATTGCACCCAGCACTGAACAAGGCCTTACCATCCACCTAGAGATCCTGGTTCCAGTTTGTCTGGTATGCCTGGAGGACAGTAAGCTTATGTCTCATAACTATCTGTGAAATACCAGATGCTTGCTTTAATCGAGAACAGATGTTGAATTGGGCCATCCTAAATGTGAAGATGGCACAACTGTCAATAAATAATACATGTACATGTTCCAAAGTTACTCTCTGTGAAGCTAAACTGTCTCAGAACAATACATGTAGTATTTAATGGAACTGCTTGTCACCGTAGAATACTATACATGTCCTAGTGAAAGTTTCAGAGAGCCCAAGTACTGAAAAGCCACAGTGTTTTAGTATAGCAATAACCACAGCCCAGGGATGACCAATTCGTACACAGAAGGGCTACCTGAAAGACCAAAGTTTGGGATGCTCTAATTAAGCCCACATGGAAAATTATGCCTCTGGGAGACAGAGGAAGAGACTGAGGAGATCTGGGTCCTAAAAGTAAACACTGTGGGATATTAGGAAAGACAGAAAAGCACCTCCTTTCAGTTTTTGTCTACTTTGAGGCAATTAATTTTATTTATTTTTTTAGTTTTACTTGGTGCAATGATGAACGTGACAAGGGCTGAGGCTCAGTGAGGCTCAGATGTCTCTACCAAAATAACCTCAGTACTAAGAAGAAACACATAAATACTCTGCTGAATGATGTACAGTTCTCTTTTCTGGAGGATATTACAGGACCTTTGCACAAGACATTAAAACAGGCAGTAAACATGCAAACACATGCATTTGTTTAGAAACAGCACACAATTGCTCAGCCAAGTGTCAATTAGTGCACTCTGCAAAACTAAAACCAGTTTTACTGAAAAGGTTCCAAAATGAATTGTTAGTTCTTAAAATGTTCAAATGAAAAGATAGCACTAATATGAATCCGTATGACGCAGTGTAGTATGTGAAACTGTATCACTAGGTCCCAATGCCAGCTGCCATCTTTCAATGATTACCCAAAAATTATTCTGAAATCACACTATTTGTTAAGGCAAATATCCAATCTTCTCTCAAATTGCCCTAATTTAAATATACAATGAAAGGTTTCATTAGTGGTTATGATGTCTCCTTCCACAAAAAATCTCTGCTAGAAATACATGTAGATGAGCCACACTAACAAGCTCAGATCAATGCTACAGGGAAGGATAAACAGTTCCATGACTAGTGAATACTACGTTAATTCCAATAATCAATATTTATACTGTAATTCTAGATTGCAAAAATGCTGGTGACTTTTGGGATAGGAACTGAGTGCTTTTACAACTACCCCTTTTCTAAGCAGTGTCAGAGCTGTTATGCAGCCCTTCTAGGGTATGTGACCTAGAAAATTTAGCACCTATAAAAACAGAGGGTTCGTGAAATACAGAATTGTAAAAAAAAGCGGATTTGTATTCTACAGTGAACATTATTCTCAGGATATTTCTAGGGTTTGAATAACCATTACTATCAGGCATATAATATGAAATTCATTTAGCATCAAATATTTTAATGCTAAACAGCCTTCTCTCAACTCCCACTAATAGAGCTTAAAACACTACAGGTTCTACATGATGTTATCTTCTTTGCCAGACCTTATTTTTGTTCTGGGTGCTTATATCATTGAGTAGGTGAGAAAAGCTACAGTGCTCACGGCCATGTTCTTTTTTAATTCTCTTTTCTGCTAAAGATGATGTAATAAATTGTTAACCAGCTGCTTTCTTTCCTTTTTTCTCCTGATGCTATTAAGAGCTTATGAGAAACCATCTCTCCCCACCACCTCCTCCCTCTCTCTGCTTCCCAGTAATTTTATTTTTTCACTGGTTCAGTTCTTCAGTGGATGGTGATTGCAGCAATGGAAGTCTCCCTCCACCCTTTAAAAAATGTTAGACTGTTCTCTAGACAACTAGTGAAAAAGTGGCAGAGCTCACTCCTGAGATGGCTGTGAAGAAATAAACAACATCTGTGAAACCCCTACATGAACATTTAAAATTGTTTGAACTGAAGTCAAGAAACTTTGGTTTCCCAAGGCTCTGGCAAGAGGTTTAGAATCACTGATGCTCTAATTTGTGCTTGCTAGGATATTAATTGGAAATATTATCTGGAAAAGAAACCAGTGATGCTCTGAAAGCTAATTTTCCTCTCTTTCCAATTTTTGCTCTTCTCATTTAAAATTTAAAAAAAAAAAAAAAAAAAAAAAAAGAGAAAAGAAAAAGGCAACATTTCCACTTGGTGTAAAGCAACACTGTGTCACAAGCAGTAATCCTTTCACACAAGCACAACTTTGCAAATCAGTCATTTAAATTAATACCTTAAAATTAATCACACGGCCATCAGTATAATAACTGTAACTCATCATGTGAGCAAACACACAGCAGTGTATTTGGACAACAGGTAGCTACCCCACTGAAACTCACATCATCTACCTGTCATGCCAAATATTTTCCCTCAGTGCATACAAACTGCTGGTTTTTTACAATGCAAAAGAGCCACAGCATTTTGCCTGGGAGAGGATCAAAGTTGTAACTAAA